TTGAGATGTTTCAAAATTTCTAGACCTTCACGATGTTTTCTGGCAAAATATATTTGTCATATTGTACGGAGTGTCCAGTCTCCATCCAGTGTTCAGCTAGGGCTAATTGGGTAAAGTGACTATACTTGGTACATCGCTGGTGTTCTTTGATTCGCGTACTATATATATTCTGAAGGACAGCCGTTTTTCTCTTTTCTCTCTCTTCATCTAGTGTGTCAGTGTTTTTAGCATTGACAATTCTGTTCTTCTGGTTTTTTATTATTTGCGAGATGTTTTTGTTGTTGTATCCATTTTTGGTTAAGGCTGTACTGAGGGGGAGCAGTGCACTTGGACACGGTGCATTTGAACACAGCCAATCACAGCATCGTGTGATTAGAGACATTTGTAGGGTCTCTTGGAACAGCGACTTGTGATTGGACTGTGTCCAATTGCCCCGTGTCCAACTGATATACACCCGTACTGAGGTGTTCTAGTTCTCCATCCAGAGAAGATAGTTCCGAAATTGTGAGCGCTCTGTAAACCAATGAACTTATGACAGAATTTTTTTGCGAGGGATGATGATGAGAGGTTGCATGTAGATATCGGTCCGTGTGTGTTAATTTTCGGTAGACCTGGTGACCTAAGATGCCATCTTGGTTCTTTTGGACTAGCACATCCAGGAAGGGTATTTGATTGTTTTGTTCCACTTCCATTGTGAACTGAATACTGAGATATAGTGAATTGAGAAACCCGAGAAACTGAGAAAGAGTTTCCCTGCCATAATTCCAAATTACGAAAGTATCGTCCACATACCGAAACCATGTGGATGGTTTCAGTGGTGCGTTCCTCAAAACTTTATTCTCAAAGTGTTCCATAAAGATGTTTGCAATGATAGGAGATATAGGAGATCCCATCGCCGCTCCAGAGGTTTGTTCGAAAAACTCTCCTTGGAACTGAAAATAAGTTGAAGTTAAGCAGTATTCTATTAGTGGGAAAAGGTTGGCAGGAATTTCTTCGGAATTCTTGATGATGTTCAAAGTATCCTGGAACATTGGTAAACAGTGAGACTACATCAAAACTCACCAGGATATCATTAGTATTCATCTTGATTTTTGTGATCTTATTCACGAAATCTGTTGAATTCTTGATATGGGAATCATTGAGACCAGTAAGTTTCTGGAGGGGTTTGGTGAGATAGCGGGCTAACTGGTAGGTAGGTCCCCCAATATTGCTGACAATGGGGCGTAAGGGCACTGATTCCTTGTGGATTTTTGGAAGACCGTAGAGTCTAGGTGCTGAAGAATCTTGAGGGGTTAAATACTTGATAGTTTGAAGAGGGAGACCTGCATTTTTCAGAAGAGAAGATGTTTTCTTCTCTATGCTGGATGTTGGGTTGCGTTTGAGTTTCCTGTAGACTTTTTGGTCTGAGAGTAAACTGTTGATTTTACTGCAATAGTCTTCCCTGTTCATAACTACAGTAGCGTTCCCTTTGTCTGCTGGTAAAATTAGGATCTTGTTGTTTTGTTTCAGACCGTGGAGAGCTCGGCGTTCTTCTTTGTTTATATTTTGTTTGGGAAGTTTGGCTTTGCGTAGGATGTTGGTTGTTCGATTTCTGATGTCATTGCTTGCCTCTAAAGGAAAGTGGAAAATAGCCGTTTCAATTTGGCTGATGATTTCTTCCGTAGGGATACTAGAGGGAGTGACAGCAAAATTGTGTCCCTTAGCTAGAACAGCGACTTCGGATGGTGATAGGTCTTGATCGCTAAGATTCTTAACTGTATGTGTGAGAACTGGCATTTGAGTCTGTGGATTGATCTTATCATACTTGCTCTTCTGTTTTTGTGTTGTTGCCTCTTTGTATTCTTTTGTTTCTTAGCTGAGTGAACAGCTTGTTCGTGAGTAACTCGATCTAGTGTCAGCCACAGCTCAGGCTCCAACGATTTTGCAAGAGAGAGATGTAATTTTAATAGTTTTTGGGATATCTTAGCCAAGTTCTTCTTGGTGGCTGAGATTCGGTCTTTGACTAACCTCAACGACGCTTGTCGTAGAATGCCTTTGGCCTGGTTAGAAGATGGAAATGGGTTTTTTAATTGAAAGCATTTCGGTCATGCATTACTACATCATGGTCGCGGCACCATTTCAAAAACGCTAGGGAGCATAGTTGGACATGCAAGGATTTTCTGAGTTTGGAAAACAGATTTACCGAGCCTAGGATAGCCTCTCCGTGCAAGCTTTTAATACTAGATTTGAGGCTTTCACGGCCATTGATACAATGTCTAGGTATAGCTTCCGGAATGGAGCCGTGTCTTGAATCAGCGATATGCCGACGTTTCGCAAACGTTGCAGTTTGCATCATCAGGGCTGAGAACTCTGATACTGAGCTCCCTTGGGTAAAGGTAGTCCTAAGTTTTTCGAACAAACCTCTGGAGCGGCAATGGGATCTCCTATATCTCCTATTATTGCAAACATCTTTATGGAACACTTTGAGAATAAAATTTTGAGGAACGCACCACTGAAACCATCCACATGGTTTCGGTATGTGGACGATACTTTCGTAATTTGGAATTATGGCAGGGAAACTCTTTCTCAGTTTCTCGGGTTTCTCAATTCACAACATCCCAGTATTCAGTTCACAAAAGAAGTGGAACAAAATAATCAAATACCCTTCCTGGATGTGCTAGTCCAAAAGAACCAAGATGGCATCTTAAGTCACCAGGTCTACCGAAAATTAACACACACGGACCGATATCTACATGCAACCTCTCATCATCATCCCTCGCAAAAGAATTCTGTCATAAGTTCATTGGTTTACAGAGCGTTCACAATTTCGGAACCATCTTCTCTGAATGGAGAACTAGAACACCTCAGTACAGCCTTAACCAAAAATGGATACAACAGCAAAAACATCTCGCAAATAATAAAAAACCAGAAGAACAGAATTGTCAGTCCTAAAAACACTGACACTAGATGAAGAGAGAGAAAAGAGAAAAGCGGCTGTCCTTCCATATATCCAGGGCATAACAGAACCTATCAACAGGATTTTGGGTAAACACAAAATCAAAGTAATCTTCAAACCCCATAGGAAACTCTCCCATTTACTCCCAAATCCGAAGGATCAGAAATCATGCCTAGAAACATCAGGTGTATATAAGATCCCTTGCTCTTGTGGTAAAGTTTATATAGGAGAAACCGGGAGGAAGATCAGTACGCGAATCAAGGAACACTAGCGATGTACCAAGTATGGTCACTTTATCCAATCAGCCCTAGCTGAACACTGGATGGAGACTGGACACTTCGTACAATATGACAAAGCCACCAGATTGGCTCCCTCAGAGTTATTTTGCCAAAAAAACATCGTGAAGGTCTAGAAATTTTGAAACATCCCAACAATCTCAACCGAGACAAAGGTATGCAAGTAAACTCTATTTGGCATACTGCCCTCCCGGTTTTTTAATTGACCAGCTGATCAATT